GCTTTGTCATGCTCACTGGCCTGCTCTTCTTCCAAATTTAGGGGGCTTCAAGAGAGGGGCAAAGGAGATTCACTATCAGGTGCCCTATTCTCCTTCCTCTCCCCCAATGTGTGGGAATAGGAAGGAATGCGGAAAGGAAGTACTGAGGACCCAAACATTCTCTGGGAGATAGAGATGGAGCTTTTGGGACTATCTCACCAATGAGAGGGAAGTGGACAGACAAGAGACTGGCCCCAGGCCCAAGGATCAAGAGATGGTCAAATCAGGCCGGGCACGGTGGCTCACACCTATAATCCTAGCACTCTGGGAGGCCGAGGCAGGCAGATAGCTCGAGGTCAGGAGTTCAAAACCAGCCTGAGCAAGAGCAAGACCCCGTCTCTACTATAAATAGAAAGAAATTAATTGGCCAACTAATATATATATATATATATATAAATTAGCTGGGCATGGTGGCACATGCCTGTAGTCCCAGCTACTTGGGAGGCTGAGGCAGGAAGATTGCTTGAGCCCAGGAATTTGAGGTTGCTGTGAGCTAGGCTGATGCCACGGCACTCACTTTAGCCTGGGCAACAAAGTAAGACTCTGTCTCAAAAAAAAAAAAAAAAGAAAGAAAAGAGATGGTCAAATCACTAGAGACATAATCAAGGGAATCAAGGGACATTAGAATTGGGGAAGACACCTGACTGCTACAATTAGAAGATGGACAGTATAGATGAGGACAGACTGATACTTGGGGGCAGGGGTGGAGGTGGGCACCCAGCTGCTGTGGAATAGAGGTATGGAGAGGGCATAAGCCCAGAGTCAGCATCCTGTTGGTTCTAGCCCATTTCAGACTCTGCCACTTGGAGTGGACCCCTCTTAATTTTTTTAGCTCCTGCTATCATATCTATCTCCCTCTTCCCTTTTCCCAGGGTACTAGCGCCAAATGGGTTCTCCCTGCCAGTTTTGGTACCTTCTCTGGCCTCTCAGTCCTTCCCACTCCTCTATTTTTAAAGTGCCAAACAAATCCTCCCCCTCCCTCTCAAAGCACAGTGATGTGGCACTGAGCCCTGCCCAACACCTCAATGAAGGGGGCCTGCTTGTTCTTTATTTTGGTTCCAGATCCTGGGGTGGGGAAGAAATGTTTTCTGGGCTGGCGTGGGGGAAGGATCGGACAGCTGCAGCCCCCTACTGTGGTTGTACGCTAGGAATACAGGACATGGACCTGGTGCCCCATGCTCATATGATAAACACTGAACTGCCAAAATGTCTTTTTATACCCGAGGAGCCCAAGGATGGAAGGGGAAGGCCTATCCTTAGGGTCATTTTGGGGGAAGGAGGGCTGTACCTAGGGCCATATTCTCTAAATCTATTTGGGACATGTTATCTAAATAAAAGATATTTCTATATTAAAAAAAAAAATTGGAACTTGATTGATGTTTGCCTGGGTTTAGTTCTAAGTTAGAAATAATTTTCTTTTGGTGTTTCCTTCCAGTGTTGCTATTTAAGAAACCCGAAGAAATCCTGAAGACTTTTTATCCATTACTCCTTTCTTTATATGTGACTATTTTAGGGGGTCTTGTTTTTGTTTTTTTCACTCTGGAAGCTTGTGGGCTCTTTTTTTGTTCTCGGTGTTTTTTCTCAATCGTGTGCCTTAGGGTGCGTCCATTTTCATCCATTGTGCTGGACATTTTCAATCAGGTGGTCCCCTTCAATCAGGAAACTCATGATCTTCACATCTGAGAAATGTTTTTTTATTCTTTCAGTGATAAAGTTCTCTCCCCTCTGTCTTCTCTGTCCTGTCTTTCTGAATCTAGAAAGGATATACTAGATCTCCTGTACTAGTCCTCTAATTTTTAAAAAATCTCTCTATGAGTCTGTTTTTCTTTTTGCTCCATCATCTAGGAAATTGTATCTCCTTTATTTCCCAGCCCTTCTGTTTTCCATGCCTATATTTTTAATTTCCAAAGAGCTCTATTTTTTTTTCCTATGAACACTCCTTTTAATGGCATTCTGTTCTCATTTCTTTCTTTTTCTTTTTTTTGAGACAGAGTCTCCCTTTGTTGCCCAGGCTAGAGTGAGTGCCGTGGCGTCAGCCTAGCTCACAGCAACCTCAAACTCCTGGGATCAAGCAATCCTTCTGCCTCAGCCTCCCGAGTAGCTGGGACTACAGGCATGCGCCACCATGCCCGGCTAATTTTTTCTATATATATTAGTTGGCCAATTAATTTCTTTCTATTTATAGTAGAGACAGGGTCTTGCTCTTGCTCAGGCTGGTTTCGAACTCCTGACCTCAAGCAATCTGCCCACCTCGGCCTCCCACAGTGCTAGGATTATAGGCGTGCATGAGCCACCACGCCCGGCCTGTTCTCATTTCATGGTTGTCATATCATCTTTTTTTTCTCTGAGGATCTTAATACATTTTTTTGTGGTTTTTTGTTTTTTCTTCCTACATAGCCTCAATTTCCTCTCAGCGCTTTTTTCTGCTTGTTCATTTTGGTATCTACCTTTTGTGTTAAAGACTTTCCTCAGACGTGTGGAAATCCGTGGTTACCACCTCATGATAAGACTAAAAAGTTAATGAAAAAAGTTAAATTAAAACATTGGTTTAGGCCGGGCGCGGTGGCTCACGCCTGTATTCCTAGCACTCAGGGAGGCCGAGGCAGGTGGATTGCTCGAGGTCAGGAGTTCGAAACCAGCCTGAACAAGAGCGAGACCCTGTCTCTATTATAAATAGAAAGAAATTAATTGGACAACTAATATATATAGAAAAAATTAGCTGGGCATGGTGGTGCATGCCTGTAGTCCCAGCTACTTGGGAGGCTGAGGCAGGAGAATACCTGAGCCCAGGAGTTTGAGGTTGCTGTGAGCTAGGCTGACGCCACGGCACTCACTCTAGCCGGGGCAACAAAGCGAGACTCTGTCTCAAAAAAAACAAAAAACAATGGTTTAAAAATGAACAAATAAACACTTAAAAGTGTTTTGCAAAAAAAAAACCAAAAAGAAATCCAGACAAAACAACTCTTATGAACTACTTTTTAAAGTTGTTTTCACTTATATAATTTGAAAACTTTGAGTTCCATATTCTAGGTGTTACTGAGTGTGTAGCTCTCATCATTTTCAAATTGTTCTCCAAATTCTTGCACATCTAGTCTGAGAGGTACCAAAGATCTAAAGCTACACGTATAACGGTAACTTTCATGACAGTTTAGGAAAAGGACACTACTACTATCAGTTTACATGTCACTATCTTCACAGGAGCTGCCTAGGTGTTGCTGAAGAAAGAGCTATCTTTAAAAAAAAAACTACCTAAAAGATGGTTTATTTACTTATACGTACACAAATACCTGATTATACAGAACCCAAGAATTTAGGGAAAATAGAGCCAATTTAGTATCATTTCAGTCTAAGTCTGTAAGTCATTTGGAATCCTGTAATATGGTGACAGGATAAAGAGAAAAAATACATTTTAATAGTATGACGAATATATATTTGAACACTTATAAAAAAGCTGACGGGAGCTCTGAGTGCAAGAGTGTGCCTTAGTAACTGTGAACTTCATTGTGGGCTGGTCGACTTGGCCTGTTCTGTGGGCAGACCTGGAAGTCAGTATCTTTAGCTCTTCTTTTTGGGCTGATCAGAGTCTACAGAGAAACTTCTCCAACCTCCTGCCTGGAGGGTGAAGGCTGAAGTGCCAGCATTCCAAAAACAGGGAGGAGGAGAACAGGAAGGTCTCAGCATCCAGTGTGAAGTGTTCCCTGAATCCCCTCGTTTTTAGTGCAGTATCCTTGCCTCATCTCTGTCCCACATCCCCGGAAACCATAGACCCTAGGCTTGACTTTCTCCAAACCTCCAGTCTTCTGCACTAAGGAGGAGAAAAGTTCTGAGCATCTAGCTATTAATTTTCCAATCAATTGTCCTTCTTCGCCTCAGGTGGAATCCTATACAATAAACCATCTGACCAGGTGACTTACTACATAGCAAAAGAGGTGCAGAAGTGGGCCTATGACTACTGGCCCTATCACATACTGTACATTCCAGAAGTGACCAGCCTGCCAGTGTTGAATGGCCTGATGGAGGCACGGGTGAAGCACCAGCTTGGAGGCAATGCACTAGAGTGGCATGCCATCATCCAGATGCAATAATTGCAGTGAGTCAGAGACTTCTCTATGACTGGCCCAGTAGAAAAAAATACATGGGCCTGACAACCAATGTGTAGAGAAGCTGGAGTGGCCCCACTTATCATCATTCATAATGACCCATTGGGGGACTTTGTGCTTCCTGTCTCCACAACTCTGGCGACGTCTGCAAGGTCAAAAGTCCTGGTCCCCACAGGGGTGTGCGCTTGCCAGGGCACAGAGAAAGGATCTTGCTGAACTATAAGTTATGAACTACAAGTCCCACCTGGGCACTGTGGATTCCTTATGCCCAATGACCAGAGGACAAGAAGAGAGGTCACGTCTGGTTAGAGCAACTGATCCAGACTGGCAGGAGAAGGTATAAGTGCTATGACACACGGAGGACATTCAGGAATTCAGGTGCCTTGTGGTCCTCCTTAGCCCACTGTAACTGTGAATGGACAGGTACAGCAACTCTAGCCTGAGATGCAGATGGTCAGGAGGGTCTCAGACCCTTCAGGAAGAAGGGTTTCTGCTACATAACCAGACAAGCCACTGAGACCAGCAGAAGTGACAGCTGAGGTCCACCACATACTTGTGGAAGGAAGGCAGGCTGGCGGGAAGGAGGACAGACCCCAGAGCGCAGGTCACGGAGGCCTGAATGCCCCGTGGGCGCCCACAGCGCCGGACAGATGGGTTTTTCCGTCTGACTTCACAGCAGTGTGCTGAATGTTTTCACATCCCACACTGCTTGAACCTTCTGGAAGAAACGTTCTCTATCTCATTAAGAGACCGCGCTCCCCTCAGGGCACACCGATCCCTCCCGGCAGGGCTCACACCCCAGGCAGGGGCCCTAGCTCCCCGCAGCCGGCTCGGGGCGGCGGACCGCCCAGCCCCGCTCACCGCCTCCGGGCTTCCAGGCGCGCCGCGATGCGCAGGCGCCGGGCCTGGATCCGCTCCTGAGGGTTATCGGAGTGTATCGAGGGCCCGAGAATCGGGGTGGATGACTGCTCGTCCACATTCGGCTCCAGGACCCCCAGCGACCCTGGCGGATTCATGGCAGGCGCCCCGGCTCCCCGGCAGCTCCGTGCGCACCGCCGCCGGACCGCCTCCCGGTTGCTAGGAACAAGCGGTTGCCAAGGAAAGGCCGCCTGAGCCGCCGGATGGTTGCGCGCGCAGCTCTCCAGGCCCCGCCCACCGCCGTTCGAAACCGTGTATCCCAGGTTTGGGCTTGGTTCCTCTCCTGAGGTTAGGGTGCCGGTACCGTCCCGACCCTCCACGAAGGCCCAGTCTTATTAGCGGAGCTGTGGAGTCTGACCGCGAGACGAGAAGCCTAAAGAGCGGGGCCGAGTTGTGGGGTTCCTCACCTACCGACCCTGACGGCTAATTCACCCTTCATTCATCAGACAGAACAGAGCGCCTACCATACGCCAAGCGCTGTGCTAGCGCTAAGGATATAGAAGTTGTCCTTTCCTCGTGGAAAGCACAGAATAATAGGTATGCTTTGTATGCATGTAGTCTCACTCTCGCTGGGGCTGGCCTCCAGCTCCTGGCCTCAAGCGATCCTCCCTCCTCAGCCTCCCAACGTGCTAGGATTGCAGGCATGAGCCACTGCGCCCAACCATCCATTTATTTTTTAGTTCCTACTTGATGCATCCGGCCCCCATGTCCTCCAGAATGTGAAACCACCCTGCCATCATACATATATTGTATATGTAGCAAGAGATTGTTGTCTTCCACAGCAGTTTTCAGTAGCGCTGAAACCTAAAACAATCCCACCATCACCACCTGCAATCAAATACTTACAGAAAGAGGATAAAGAAAAGGGGAGCCGAGGGAAATGGGGCGGGAGAGTAAAAGTTACGAATACAGAAGCACGCTTAAACTCTCAAAGCAGCCCTGTTCCCTGAAAGGCACTATTTCCTGGGCTTTTTGTGTCTCATTGCCAACAAAAATGGTGTTCTCATTGAGAATGAAAGCCCTTTAAAACCAAATTGGATACCATTTGACAGAGTTTTGTCCCATTAGCCACTGGGAAATTAACAAATGGGCACTGGGTGAGTAGTGAGAAAATCCTAGTCCTGCTCTGACACCTTGGACAAGTCACAACTTGAGGACCATGTTCTCAGCTGTTAAATGGTACTTTCTGGCTGCCTACTCAACTCACAGTTAACTGTGAGGCCAAGAAGATAACCCCTTTGTGAATAAGACCTAACCAGAGTCTGCAAGTGCTAGAGAGATTGAAGAGTGCCAGAACCACGGAATAGCCTGAAGAGTCAGACAGGTGCCTGGATCCTTGTGCATACCTGCCTAGATGGTGGTGGGAGGGGCAGGGGAAGCTTCTAGGCTTCAGGGCCCTCTGCCTAATCTCTCTCTCCTTTGGCTGTAACCACAAACTCTTTTGGGTTCTGTTCCTTATTTCCACTGTCTATCAAGAGAGAAACAAGTATATGTACATGCATGTGTGGCTGGGAGTAGGATGCCATGAAAAACTCAGTGGGAAAGAGCTGTTACATAATAGGTAGGTGAGAGAGCAAAGGTACCATAAAAATCCATAAAGAGTGATCAATGAGATACTTGGCCCTAAAGTTGTCTGTCCCCAGATGACACTTGAGAGGTCTTTTGTAATACGGAATCTGACTCCATGTTTTGCTGTTTGGGTTTGTTGACAGCTTTGAAGCTTTACTCCCTCTTTCTTCTCCATCTGGGCAAGCTGTTAAAAAAAAAAAAAAAAAAAAAAAAGCCTGGGTGCTATCTTTTTTGGTGCTGGCAGGAGATTCCAGCCACAAGCACTGGTTATCCTCATCCCAGCGCCACACCACCGTCACAACAAAAGCCCCAACCCAGTCTCCATTCTTGGCTCTCTCCAGCCATTTTCTGACCAGCTACAAGGCCCTCCTTGCTGCAACGGACAGCCTCAATTATGTAATAAACTTTTTTCATAGGTGTGGGAAACTGAATTATCATAGGCAGTTAATGGGTCTAGGTTATAGCTCCTTGGGTCAGAATTAAATCAGTTTTACTCGGCACTGCACACATAGCACCTAGCACAATATCTGAGACGTAGTTAAGTGCTAACCAAATATTTTTTGAAAGAAATGTACACAATGTATCTGTATGCTCACTCCAATTCTAATATTAAAAACTGGATATGACACAAAATCCACCAATAGGGGAATTGATAAAGTAGTCATGGGATTCTAATACAATGTAAGAATGAACCTGACCTAGAGAGACATCCAAAATGTATCAAATGACAAAGGGAAGATGTAGCACAATATGTAGAGTATGAATCCAGTTTTATTTGAAATATAGTGTGTACATAAGAAAAATGGAGGGAGGACCACAAAGTAGTCACTATCTGTGGGGGCTAGTCTTATGGGTGACTTCCACATTCTCTATTCTTAAAAAAAAGTTTACAATCAACCTAAATCACTTTTGATTCAATAAAACAAAGCTTATTTATTTATTTGTTTTTTTAAAAGACAGCTGATGGGTTAGGCACAGTGGCTCATGCCTGTAATCCTAGCACTTTGGGAAGCTGAGGCAGGAAGATTTCTTGAGGCCAGGAGTTCAAGACCTCGTCTCTACAAAAAATAAAAAAATTAGAAAAAAATTTAAAAAAAAAAAGAAAAAGACAGGTGGTAGGAGATCCTGAAGAGATGGAGGCAGGCGGGATTAGGGCTATCAGATGAGAGGGACTTGGGGAAGGGGTGTAAGCAACGTCCATTCACCTTGATGTGTGACCAGCATCCAGTCTGCTCCTCAGCTGGTCGGCAATACTCTAAAACGCAGACCTGTTTTGAGAACTGATAAGCTAATAAAGGCAGAGCATATAGAGAATTCATTAATTTTAGCAAGAAACCACAATCATTGCACAAGGCAGTGTGTGTATTCATGCCTTGTGACCAGCACATCTCCGCTGACTGAACTACAAAGAGAATCAAACTATAATTGGGAAGTTCCTTGACATGTAGGATTGACTGCAGGGGGTTCTGAGGCCCTCAGGGGGATAATTTGCCACAAGAACAGTCGAGTCCTTGATGTATGGCATCCTCATCTCTGGGAGGTTTTAAGTGATAAATGCAAAATCCTTTGCTAGGATAAGGCTGGCCACCTACCTGCAGCTTATATAGTCTTTTTCCAGGAAAAGAATGCTGCACTGATTAGACTTTGCCTTATTAAGTCAAGTCACATTTAATTCTACATCCATAAGTTTACACTAAATCACCTTAATTGAAGTGTGTGAATGTTGGCAAATTCATCAAACATTTAGATAATTTCTTGGTTTATTCCTATCTCCCAATTTGTGTAAATTTTACTAATTGGATCCTGATGAGGCAATCTTTTTTATTCATTTTTAGTTATTTTTGGAATTGCCTCACCATCACCTTCATATATTGCCTACAAAAAGTACCAAGGAGGGAACAGAGATGGGAGGAGGGGCAGGGAAGTCATGAACTGTGTCCTATGGCTTAGAAAAAAGTTCAAATGGGAAAAATAGGGAACTGGATATTACCAGAAACTGAATACCTACCTTAGACCATTCACCGTATTAAGCACTCTACATGCATTATTCTCATTCAATCCTCATAATGCAAAACTGAGGTAATATTAATCCCATTTTATAGATGAGGAAACTGAGGCATAGAAAAAAATAAGTAACTTGCTCAGGTCAAAGGTTGCATAGTTGAACATGACTAAGAAACACTCAGAATAAAAATAAGAGGAAAAATTGAAGGAACAGATATAAAGTCTTCTTTCAGGAAATTTGTGAGCAGAGGAAAAAAAGATGAGGGGGAAGAGAGGAGCAAGACACTTTGAGGGCACAGGGTCCTTGTAAGTTTTGGTAGCCCCAAGTGTGGTTATATACCCTGAGATTTACCAAAAGAAGGGAGGTAATAACTGCTAGCACAACCAGAAGCTGGCAAGGCAGGGGAGTAAACGCACATTAGCTGGAGCACAGCCTGGGCGGTAACATGGGGCATTTCCTTCCTCACCATCTTCAAATCTGTCACTGAAAAATTTTTTTAAATGCCCACTGCCAAAGCTGGGAGATCAATTCTGATGCAAAAATGAGAAATATTCTCCTCAGAAACAATGTTAGATAATGGACATTATGGTTTAGATACTATAATTTAGCTGTTCTAGGTGTGGATTAGTAAGTTTTTGTGGAATTAATCTGGAAAATTAATACCATATGTTAACACTTTTCTATAGGAAAATGCCTCTGAGGAAGGAACCGTCACCTTGCAAACTATTGAAGTGTGACCCAGTAATCATGAGGACTATATACACTGCCCAGAACCCAGTTCTAGGGGAGTCCAGAGCAGTTTACTATGAACAGCTGTTACTGCCACTTGCCTTGTACTCTGTTTTCTGAAACAAGTCACAGGATCACACACCACCAGGAGGAAGCAGGTTGGGCTTTCTTAAAAAACAAAACAAACAAAACAATGAAAAACTTTTTAATGTTTTGCTCTAAAATAATCAATGATTCTCTGAGACGAGAAGAGAGTTTTTCTCCCGTAATTCCCTCTTTTAAACCTACCAATGAAAAACAAAGAAGACAATCTGAAAACAATTAAAAGGATTTAAAAATTATTTACTTTTACTTTTATTACAATAAATACTTATCAATAATAGAATTAAACAATTTTAAATTAAAACCTACTGCATTACTTTTGGGTTTCACAGCAGCAGAAATAAACATAAATCCAGTGGAAAGGGCAAGGCTTCCAGAATCCAGTGACAAGAAACAGTCAGGTCTTGATTATCTGGGTTAGCAATGGGGAACAGTGATACGGATAATGCAAAACAACACTGAAATGCAGTGTCATACTCTATTTGTACATTAAATCATCTGAGACTTCACAATATTCCAGCTAAGTAATTTCAGCAAGTTGTGAAGCTCCCCCATCAAGCCCAGGGCACAACTGCTCCCAGAGCTGCCCTCTGGCCAGAAATGTGACCCATCATCAGGCAGACCCAGAAGCCTCAACCTTGGTGAAGGGTTCTCAAAAGCTGTCTTTCTGGCTCACACAATCCCTGGTTAAAGGAAAATGGAAAAGGGACATATTTATAGGGCTTCTCTCGAGGCGAACTTAAAGAAAGAATGTGGCTCCAGACCAGGAAGAGGCTTCAGGGTTATGGGCCACATGTAGATTAAGTCCACATGAAAAAACTCTAATGAGGGCTGCCCACTTTGCTGATAATCAAGAGCAGACTGCATGTATATATGACAATATCACACATACAATATGCAGGGAATATGTGTACATATTAAATATGTATATACACACATAGCACACATACCCAGATAAAATAAATGCTACATTATTATGAACACAGCAAGTCCTAGACAGACCAGTTACTAATATGTTCAATTAAACTACTTGAAAAGGAAAAACAACATTTTATGCTTTCATCTTCCTCTTTTAATATAGTCTACTTGTAGCAAACTTATTCCAGTTGCTCAAGTGGTGTTGTTTCTAGGTACCTGAGAAGGATGACATTGTCCTCTTGTTTCAGAACTCTAAAGAAAGCCAACTGCAACAGGAACAAGCCAAACGACTCAATAATTGATATGGCCACGATTCCTGCCACCTATTTTTAGTCACAGGGCATGAAACCTTACTCAGAAAAGTATCCATTTCCCTTTCTACAACTGACTACAAATTTAATGTATTATGTTAGATGGTGGGGAGGGGGAAAGGCAGGCAGCAGGGAGTTTACACCTTGGCAATTATTCATTGCCTGTGCCTTTACCCAGAGAATATGCTAATTTTAAGAAAAATTGAAATCTGGAGTTCAATACTGCAGCTTGCTTTCTTGGCACACTTTGAAATGAGCAAATCATTACACTTAGTTGGGTCTTTATCTCCTCAATGGTTGCTCTGAGGAGGTTAAGTTATCTAAACAAAATAACCTACATAAAATGTTAATATTCTGGTAGTTCACTTTGTAGTTATTAAACTCAAAGTCTGATACTGAATAACAGTAATTCAAACATATTTATATAATGCAGCATCCACAGATCTTGTAAAATTAGGTTCCTTCAATAACCTGGGTAGTAAAATCAAGTACTAAACATGTTCCAGGTCAAGAAGTTACTGTTTAGATATTAAAAAGTACTCATCAAGAATATCAGAATCTAGAATTCATGGTGAATGTGAATTTATGTGTATGTTGTCATAAAAACCCAACATCAATTCTAATTTTAATTGTTATCCATAGAAACTACTCAACAGAAGATCTTAGCCAAAGAGACATAAGACATCCACAGCCTTTAGCCATTCCTCATGTCTTCAATACTGTCTCTAATTTCAATTTTAATATATGAGCTGCCAAAGCAAGCACTGTCTCTAATTTTGATGTACTCCATGATGTACTCTTTGGCCATGATCCAATGTGTATGCTTTAAAATCAGCTCTACCATGACTTAGCCTGGCTTTCTAAGAATGATTCTCTAAAGAGTAAGACAATGAATGATCTGTGGAAGAACAGAACAATCTTTCTGCTGTATCCAAATGGATTTACCTAGAGAGATAAGCCCTTATTCAAATATTCTAAAATCAGTCCACATAGCACTTTCAAATTGTGGGAACCTGGCCTTTCTGACCAAATGCAACACAACCCTCTCAACTCAGGCTACCTGTGAGAGAGCTAAAAATGGCAAAACTTTTGCTACCCTAAATATTAACTCATTTAAGATCTGTCCATATAAAGAGCAGATCCTGCTTTAAAAAAAAAAAAAAAAAAAAACCCAGCTAGATTACTAACTCTTACATATTTATTTATTAAAGAGCAAAGCATATTACTAGCATGCAGGTGAAAAAGGTTACACTTATTTGCATTGTAGAAACAGTGGAAATGAATTAGCTGACAAATCCAATTCTCATGGCTCCATGCAAGGAAGAAGGGTATCACCATTTTCTCTGGAAAAGTTAGACAAACATGATTTATCATATACCCTAAAGTAATTGCCTGCCAATATGTCAGTCATTTGTACCACTGTCAAAGATAAAAACTAAAATATAAAATCACATGGGTTACATAATTAAAGGAAAATCAGAAATTTGCTTAAGCTTCCTAAAATGGTCAGAGCATCACATTTTCAAGTTTCACAGTGATTAATTTAACATCATTTTACTATTAAAGCTGCCACTTTAAAAGTACATGTCAAAGTGCTTCGAATGTAGCATACTAGTTAGAATTCTTCCTGGAAGGTTCTATACTGGCAGCTAACTTAGTAAGGTTATTCACCCACAGGATGTTCAAGAAAGGGCATGCTGCCTTACAAAGACACCTCATGGGACAAAGAAAATTCTGGTCTGACTTCACAAATTTCCTATGGAGAGCTTAATCAAGTCCAGAACTAAGGCCATTTTGAACACAGACATCAACACAACCAACGATCTCTGTATCTGTTTTTGGCTTTTTGGGAAACCCAAAGTCAAAAGTTCCAGCCCATCAAGTTTACTTTGTTCCCTCTGGCACATTCCCAGTTCTTCACTAGTCAAGAGATCTAAGGCAATCGAGGAGATGTAAATGTGGCAAGATCTCTAGGGGCAAACAGAGCAACACCTCGGTGGGCTGTCCCTCTCCTGGGTAGTGGCTAGTTAAGAGGAAATTCAGGTGAAGAACGAATACCAAGAATTACAAATAGGCTTCTAATTAAATCATAAAGGGGAAAAATAGCCTTGACTCAAATATCTTCAGATTATCTTTTTATTCTCCATAGGTCATAGAGTCAAAGTCTGTTTTGGAAAGCAAGGTACATTCCAAATTCTTTTGGACTGACTATAAGATAAAACAGTTCTTTGAAAACTGAACTATCAGGAAACTTTCAAATTCATAGGGTATTAAGGTGGTCCCTTCGTCCCTTTAAAGTGGATATTATGCCTGCATTTTCCTTTGTATATTCCCCCAATGCCTAGGCTTCAGGTCATAATCAATACTCTTTCGGAATCTACTTAGAATTTGAATAACTCTAGACATACACTCACCTCCTCCCAAAAACCATTATATTAAAATAAATGACATGTTGGTAGTAGTATTATAACATCCTAGACCACAATCAGCATTTAGCTTTCTTTTCAAAATTAGAATTAAAAGTATTTTAATCTTAATTAAAGATATTAAGATGCCAAGGAAGACTATTTAGTTTTTTATTTGGAAGCTATGCAATCTGTTACCCTTAAAGCTAAAACCCATAAACCACATCTATTACCTACTTGTGGAAGAATGACACTTTAAATTGTGGCAATTTCAAACTGTGCACCACATTAAGATCATAAGTACTTTTAAAGGATCACAAAAGGCAACATTAGGATACTCTATGTAGGTATTGTCAAATTTTTCTATCTAATTCTCCCATTCAAAATTAGGGGAATTATTTTCTGACAAGTCAGAAAAGAAGTTTTTCATAACATAACCTGAAAAGACACTTCTCACAGGTGTATATAACTTTGGTCAGCGAAAACACAATGCAAACCTCTGGCCTGGCTAAGGCACCCTATTCAGAAAGTACAGGAAACATGCATGTATGCTCCTGACCAAAGCATTGCTCCCCAAAAGGCAGCTCAGTGTATGCTGGGGAGAAAGGCTGGGGTGTGAACTCACCCAAAATATCATACACAAGCCTGAAATATCATTTATACTTTGAGAATGTTATAGTAATTGACATGACATAAATACACAGAGCTATTCATAATTAAGTCCTGCTTCGGTTCTTGTATGTCTATACAACAAATGGGGCCTTTCAAGATGCACTTTCAAGATGCCTGACTTAAACAAGAGCGAGCCAGCAGTACACTACAGATTCACAAGTCCACAGTATTCTGAAACAGTTAATAGCTCAGTTTCACTTTACCCTTGTTGATGGCCACCTTTCTTTTATCTAACAATGTCAATAAAAATGACTATGGCATAAATCTTTTCCACCAGAGGGAAATATGTCATAAAGTATAGGCACAAAACAATTTTCAGATAAACTTGATACAACAAAATGAGGGCAGAAAGTTAGAAACAAAAAAGCCCCCAAATTATAGGACATGACCCTAATGCCAGAAGTAAAAGGTATTTTTTACTATACTGTACAAGGTGAAGAAAGCCTGTGATCCAAATTTGTTATTTTATAAATATTTATCAGTTCTTTTCTTATATAACACAGATTAATCTCATTCTTGTGTATGAAGTCAATAAAACTGTAAAATAATTAGCTTAGAAACTTTAAAACAAAGCTTTTTCCCCACCCCAAATTAACACTTTATCCAGTTCAATTTTGCAACTCACATAGAACAAGGTATACAAAAAATAGAGTTACTGTCACTTACTTGGTTCATTCTCTGACCTCCATGATGACAATTTATTAACAAACATAAAAACACTGTTCACGTTTTCCTGCATCAATTTCACACCTATTTTCAGTGTTAATATTTATCTCAGAGAAAGTCACCAAATATATCTCGATCTTTATAATTTTAAAAAAATGAGTACAGAACTATGAGCTAGCTCCTTGACTCATTTCTAATAACCTGAATGACAATGATTAGAATTTACAAATTTTTTAAAAAATGAAATATCAATTACAGTTATTATTT